TTTTTTTTTTTATTTTTAAAATTTCAACGATTAATGCCTCATATACTATTTATTATTTAATTTTAGGAATTTTTATGGATTTTTTATTTTAATTTATCGTATATTGACTACTACAATTGTTTTGACTCAACTGGAGCGAAAGGATTTCCTTAAGAGCTACTTCTTAGGACCTTAAAAATGTGGAGATCAGATTAGAACTTGATTTTCGAAAACTGGCTTTGAACCAATGACTTCCCGATTTTTTTTTTTTAAATCATTTTTTTGTAAAGGGGGAACTTAAAAATTTAGAAAAAAAAATTTTAGATGTGAAAAAAAAATTATTATGATGCACAATGGCGATAAAAATTACTGCACAGTAAAAAATTTTTCGTCAATTTGTAAAGTGTAAAAATTTTTGTGTAGCAAATTACACTCTAGTGTGTATAATTTTACATTCTCATGTGTTGATTTAACATACGAGAATGTAGAATTAACATTAGTTTGTGTAAAAACAGTCAGTAACACAAATATTTGTGTTAAATTTGACGAAAATTTTTTTACTGCATGTAAAAAAAATTTTTTTTCCTCTGAAATTGTAGGAAATGACGTTAAAATATATTTTGGAAATTTTGGGGGTACCCCATTTTGACCCCCCCCCCTCCCCTATACTTTATAAATATACATTACGTCAACTGAAAATGACTGATATACATCGAGTTTATTTTATCGGTCTCTTATAATTTCTCCGAACTGTTTTTATTTTTTTTTATCTCGCAATGAGTTCTCAACTGTTTCTCAGTTGATAGTTATTCCATAAAATATCATTATAAAGTACCGCGTGCTCTTAAATTTTAGTGAAAATGTTTTTTTTTCTCTATTTACAATTACAAGAATCAATAAATTTTGTTCATAAGTTTACTACAGTAAATATTTGCATGAATCATACTCGCTTAACTTATACAAAATTTCCATTGTAAGTTTTTCATAACATTACAGTCAGCTATCACTTAAGCATTTTTTAATTTTTTTTAACAAACAAATTTGTTCCAAAAAATTATTATTAAAAAATTGCATTTTTTAATTTTAAAAATTTCTACTTGTCAATTATTTTTTGCTATAATTTATTTGTCACAAAAATTCTTAAAATTATTGAGTGTCTGCTAAATTAATTATCATAAGTTTTTCTTATTGTTATCAATCATAATTTAAAAATATTGAATATAATATTTAATACATATAATACTTATGATATTAAATATTCATTTGTTATTTATAGGAAGCCAATCAATTTTTCTTAAACAACAATGGGCGACGAATTAATATCATTATTTGGAAGTTTAAATGCTTCTAATTCATCACGAAGATCAAGTCAACAGACTAATACAACTAGGTATGTAAATTTTACAAATTATAACTTTAAATTTATAATTATTAATTCATAACTGATAACTTTTCTTCTTTTAATTTTGTTAAATTAGTTTAAGAAATACATCAACCTGGAAAAATTCAACAAAAGAATTTTTCTATCAAATTTTTGAGTGGAATCCTGCATGGCTTGTTGACAAAAATTATGAAGAAGTACCTCCGCCTATAATTGACTCAATAAAAATGGAACCTACTCAATTACTATATTCGGATCACGAATGTTATCGAAAAACTATGTTGCCGTTTACGGTCCATGAATTTTGGTATCAGTTGAAAGATGATTTTGTTGAAGAGAGGAAGCGAAAAAAGTATTAAAATAATATAAATAACTATGCCCACTAATTCACAAAATATACTCAACATTTATAATTTACAGGCTCAAAGAAATAACTGCAAGTGTAATGCAAAGGTCTTACAGTTCTGTGGTGGTTGATAATCCAACTAAAAAATTTATCAGTTTGCAATTAATAACTACGGTACCATACACTAATGATCTTGAGGACGTATATCCCAGTAGAGGTGATTTAGTCATGGTAGCAAACAGAAAAAAACCAGCTCCAGAGTTCGGATATGTGGACGAATTAGTAAGAACTGGTGGTAATTAATTCTTGAATTATAATTGAAATTTGATGACTTTGTAATAATAATTTTTATAAATCTAATTTATTAAATTTTTTAGGAAGAGACGAGGGAAATATAACGTTAAATTATCGTTTGCTAACTAGATTTACTTCACTGCAAGCTTTACCAGATCATCTGTCATTGACAACAGCTGGATGGATATTGTCTTATTTGACGATTTTAGAGGCATTGGATAGCATTCCTCAATCAATACTGTGTAAGCCAATTTTAGAGCCGCATCCTGAGTTGTATAAATTATTTTCAACAACAGAGATTCTTTCTCCAATAACGAAGGTACGAATTTTTTAATCTTTGATGAAACTAGTAGTTTATTTATTTTTACATACATAGGAAAGCTTGAACGAGAAGCAAGCGGAAATAATGTCAAGAGTAGTAGCTACAATCCAAAGATCCGGCCCTGGAATATGTTTAATCCAGGGACCTCCAGGAACTGGAAAGTCAACTTGTATTAAAAATATTATTGCAAATACATTGAAAACAAATAGTGCATCACGATTATTAGTGTGTGCACCATCAAATAAAGCGATCGATGAACTAGTTTTAAAACTGCTTGCTATACAACCTGCAATGAAAGGTATTTATATTAATTTAAAAGTTATATTACAAAAACTAATTTGGTTTTATATTTAATAAATTAGAGCAAGGCGTTCCATTTTTTATTGTACGTGTGGGTAAAGAAGAAAAAATTCATAAAAAAGTACATCCTATTTCGTTGCAGAGGCTTGGTCGTGATTGGAAGGTACATATCGCGTTACTAATGCCAAAAGGGCGTATAAAAAAATTTTTTTTCCTCCAATCAACTTGAAAATGTTTATAAAATTCAGATCTGTAAGAAAAGTGAATAAAAAAAATTTTTTTTTTATACACCCTTTTGGCTCTAATACAAAAAAATTTTAAAGCCAAAAGGGCGTATTATTTTTTTTTAATCATAATTAATTATAAGCCTTAAAAAAAAAGTTATAACACCGGTAAAAATAATGACTTTTCAACTCATTTTATTTAAAAATAATATGGATTTGAATTGAAAAAAAAAAAAAAAAAACCAAAATAACAGTAACATTCTATTTGAAGAAAAATGTATTTGACTCACTTACAAAATTTTCATTTCTATTGACCCAATAATCATGTCTTCACTGATAAAGTGTAATGAATTATGTTTAATTGTACAAATTACAAAATCATATCAGATTAAAGTATTTTTTCAAAGTTTAGATTTTACAAGCAATATATATTTATTATTTTTTACTTTCAGAAGTAAAAGATAATGATAATGGAGACGGCATCGGAGTAGTGCTTAGCTAAATTGATATTTTAGTTTTTTCTTTAATCAAATACATATTCTCTTCGGATAAAATGAGTAGAAGAGTTATTATTTTTACCAGTGTTATAACTTTTCTTTTATTTTTTAAGGCTAATAATTAATTATGATTAAAAAAAAATGATACGCCCTTTTGGCGTTGGAATTTTTTTGTTATAAAGCCAAAAGGGCGTATACAAAAAAAATTTTTTTATTCACTTTTGTTACAGATCTAAATGTTATAAACATTTTTGGGTTAGTTGGAGTGACAAAAAAAATTTTTTATACGCCCTTTTGATATTAGTAACACGATATTGATTACTAATAATTGAATAATAATTTTTTTTTATAATATTTGAATTTGCCGTAATTTGAGAATACACTTTAATACTTTTCTATTTTAGAAACATACTGTTTTCAAACTCGAGAGAATTTCTACAATTGAGGAAACAATTTTAAAAAGTGCCAATATTATTGCTTGCACTTTGTCATCGTGTTATACGAGTTATAAAATGAAGAATGTGTTTGCGTAAGGTTAATTTTAATTTTAACATCTTCATTTTTTGGTTTTTGTACAAACAATGATTATTTTTAGAAATGGCGGCCTACAAATTCCATTTTGCATCATCGATGAAGCAGCTCAAGCCACCGAATTATTAACATTAGTACCGACGTTGTTGAGGATACAAAGATTGATTTTGGTTGGAGATCCACAACAATTACCACCAACTATTTTATCCAACGTATTTATGATAGTTTTTTATTTTTTAGAAATTTTGTTTATTTAATAACCGCTTTGTTATTTTATTTTTTTAGAAAGCGAAGGAATATGGATACGACTCGTCGCTTTTTGCGAGGGCCCAACTTATTTTTGAGCACGAATTAGAAAACCCTATTGTTATGTTGGATACGCAGTACAGAATGATGGATGCGATCGCACAGTGGCCTAATCGTTATTTCTATGCAGGACTTTTAAAAAATGCGGCATCTGTAGCTCCATTAGATTTCTATAATTATAAAGTATTGAATCATTCGTTTTCACAAGACGCTGATGGCCGATCAAATCCTAATGAAGCTGTACTAGTGGCCAATTTAATTCGTGCTTTAAGAGAAAAAAGTAAGTTGATAGAATCAGAGAAGGAAATTACTATTGGCGTAATTACACCATATCAAAATCAACGTAAACTTATTAATTCAATGATAAAAACTCTGTAAGTAATTTTTTTACATATCTTCTAGTATAAATAAATTAAAGTAGAAAAAAAAAATACTATTTATGTTTACTCTAGTAACAAGAAAAAGGAGCAACCCAAACAAATGAAAATTAAAAAACGTTCTGATAAAGATGAAGATGATGTTGATGGTAATATTGATAAAAATAAAAATAATCAAACAGAGAATCCTGAAAAAGAAAACATCGATGCCAAAAACAACGAAGAAATGAATAATGAAGACTGTAAAGAAAATAGTGACAGTGAAGATAGTACAGATGAGGACGAAAATATGATTACTGATATAAACAACTGTGATATAACAATAATTTCAGAAGCTGCTAAACTGGAAATGAAAAAGAAATTCGAAAAGAAAAAGAAAGATAAAAGAGCTCAGAAAAAAGAAAAAGATAACAAAGATGGTGGGAAGAAAAGAGATGGGGCTCCTAACCAAAAAAGAATTGAAGTCAACACGGTTGATAGTTTTCAAGGGTCTGAGTGTGATATAATCGTGTTGTCATGTGTTCGCAGCGAAGGAATTGGATTTGTTAAAGATCCCAATAGACTTAATGTTAGTCTAACGCGCGCGAAACACAGCTTAATACTATGTGGTAACTTTAACGCTTTTAGGGTAAGAGTTTTCATTTGATTTGTTTTCTACTTTTTTCTTAATCTATATTATTAAAAGAATAAGCAAAATTTTGTAGCCAGTGGATTTATAAGATAAAATGGGTTTGTATGGTTAAATTTGGTATCGTTAGAAAACTCTTAATCTGGAGTTGTGCCTTTTCATGGTTTCATAGCATTCTCACCAATAGTCAATTTATGATGATAAGTATTTAGGCTGCATTCGAAAACACTCTATCTCTAGATACATAATCAAGGAATGACCTTGTATCTTGTGAACTATTGACATTTTTAAAGATATAAGCTCACTCTGACATTACACTCATCAAGAGCTTTCATTTAAGTACCCACATCAATTTATCATATATTTATATATATATTATGTATATGTATATATGAAAAATACATGAAAATGCATGTGGGTACTCAAATGAAAGCTCTTGATGAGTGTAACATCGGTATGAGCTTATATCGTTAAAAACGTTAATATTCAAGAAAGTACAGTGCAATTTAACAAATATCTTGTAAAATATTGACATTTTTAAAGATATAAGCTCACTCTGACATTACACTCATCAAGACCTTTCATTTGAGTACCCACATCAATTTTTCATATATTTATATATATTATATATATGTATATATGAAAAATGTATCAAAATGCATGTGGGTACTCAAATGAAAGCTCTTGATGAGTGTAACATCAGAATGAGCTTATATCTTTAAAAACGTCAATATTTAAGAAAGTACAGTGCAATTTAACAAGAGTCATTATTTAATAAAGCAAAATTTTATTTATTTATAGTTCACAAGTCACGGCAGTCACATAGTGACTGCAAGGTTGCTAGTAATATAATATAAAGTTTATCTTACTTGGTTTTTATTTCAGCGTAATGAAATGTGGCAAAATTTATTGGATGATGCACATGAACGAGGTGTCTACTTCAATCTTGCCGAAGGAGAAGAAATAAAATCACTTATTGATCACGTTATTATAAATCACAAACAGTAATAATTTTTAATCGACTGTGTTTATCTTTCAAAGCATGTTTATAATAAGCTCGTATCAATTTTATCAACATTTTAAAAAATAATCTTTTTAATACACAATAATGAAAGAAGATAATTATTTGATAGAGATGTATAATTTTAACGTTTCAATTTGTATTCAGTGAATGAAAATAATTTTTTTTAATAAAAGTGAATTTTGATAAACTATGAATATTTATGAGTATATTTTTTTAAGTAACTCCTACTTTAATAATAAAAACAAAAAGGTTATTTCGAATTTAAACAAATTTTATTCATCTAATTATATTCAAATAAAATTTATTGATTAGTGTCTTATTCATATGCCTGGTATATTAAATATGGTAGCTTTATGGTGTTTTGAAAAAAATTAGAAATAAATGAAATTATAATTCGACATTTAAATAAATCAATTTTATGATAAAAATTTTTATAATGTGAAAAATTAAATACCCAAATTTTGTAAACAACTACTCCGGGACCGCTACCCGATTCAGTTCCTTCCACATATCGGTCCCGTAAATTTTTTTTACAAGTATATTTTCTAATGGTTAGTGTACGAACGCACGGGTAATACTATTGAGGAACGTTTGAAAAGTTTCGACTTTCAATTTGATATGTATACGACTAAAAAAAAATTTATTGAATTCATTTGATCTAACTTTTGCATAAAATATTATAAGAATTAATTAATGTAAGTAAAATATGTCAAACCTGAGAAGATGATGTAGAAATGAAAAGAATACAAAGTATAAATATTACCGTAAGCTTACAGTATTATGACGAGTATACTCGAGATATCCGCATCTAAAAATTATATTTGTCGGCTATATGCCAACTTCAGGGTCATTATAGTATTTCATGGTTCAAAAATAACTGTTGTTAATTAACTATATAAAAACTAAAAATGTTGTGATCGGTTTACTATAAAATCACGTTTTTATATATGGAAAAATCTAATAAAAAACTGTCATTAAGTAGAAATTATATATAGAAAATAGTATAAAATTAATCGTGTTAATTATTAATTTGTAATAATTAGATTTAATTTTTATGTTAAAAAAATTTTTAAAGCTGGTTATACAATAAAAAATATACTTAAAATAATATTAATTGATAATTAATAATTTTTTATGTCCATATTTTCCGGTGATAATTTGAATTACTACCAAATTTAATCCCTACAATTAAAAATACATGATAGTTTGAAGTTAGTCAATAGTCGAAAAAATGGGACCTGATTCCTTATTGGTAGAATATAAACCCTCCTCAGTTACTATTGGTCAATCTCCTGGTACGTGAACATATCAATATATCGATATAAATCGAACAGGATAAATTCATTCTAGAATTCCGATAGGGGGCGCGCGAATGCGAGCCGTTAAAAATTCTAGTAACAATTAAATAAATACTATTTATAATTTAAAATTAAAAATAAAATCGACTTCTAAGGTATTATAAATAAGTCAAAGATATTTTCTAATTCCAGAATCATTATGACTTAATTGTAATAAAACATCAAAATAGTTAACAACAAATTAAAATAAAATTACTTACTCGTGTGAAGTTCAACTAATAAAATAATTAAAATTAAATTAAAAATAAGAATAATATTTAATCTAGTGACATCTTTAAATTTTTAAATATATATGTATTTACTATGCGTTGATAAAATAGAACTACAAAGTAATTTCATGTATCTCCACTATGAGCGCACGTCTATCAAAACAACGTGATAGACACCGAAAATTCAGTTATTTACATTAATATAATTTTATTAACCATAACTGTTTAATTGTTGTTAAAATGAGCGTCATAGCAAAAGGATTTGTTAACTTATTTCGTTCGCAAATAGGAAAATCAATAGAAGGTATTTTAGATTATTTTTTAAATTAATAATAATCCTAACCTTAAGAATAAATAAAAGTTATTTTTGTTGTATAATGAATTTTTAAAGTTAATAAGTGCTTAGTTTATTACTAAAGTTTAAAAGAAAATAGATTTTGAATTAGCAGATCAATGATTATTTTAATTAAACGTAATTTTGATGAAAACACTAATAAAAAATATAACTTTTTAAGAAGTTTACCATCAATTTTTTTGACAAGAGTAAAAATACCGTACTGAGCCACTAATATTTGATATTTTCTTTATTATTAATTATCAATTTTAGATGATACTTAAATTAGCCGACGTTCAACAATTTTGGACTTTTTTTTATTAATTAAATTAGAACTATTGAAGTTATTATCATGACCGAATTGTATATATATATATAATGAGTGTTTTTTCGTGCCATCTAAGTCAATTAACTAGTAGATGTTGTTCAAGTCAAGAGATGGATACTTCCATCTTCCCTTATAAGTCGAGAGATATCCTCTCTGTACATAAGTTCAATGGAAATCCATCAAACTTTTCTCAATGGAAATCCATCAAACTTGAATACTAGTAAAGCTGTAAGCTTGTAGTATCCATTCGAGTAAATTAAAGATGTTAATTAAATGAAAGAAATTATTTGAAATAAGTTATTGACTTGAACAACATCTACTAGTTAATTGACTTAGATGGCACGAAAAAACACTCATTATATATTAAATTAGAACTAAAAAAATATTTTTAAAAAATTGTACGTGTAGTTTGTAAAATTTTTTACATGTGAAATTTTTTCTTTTATTTTTTTTTTTTTAAATAATTTTTCAATAAAATAAATTCCAAAAATTTTCAGATGTCAGCTAATTTAATTTTCATCAATTTTAGCTGCTGAAGTAATCAGTGTAAATAAATAAACAAATATATATGAAAAGTTTAATAACGCACTTATTCAAATAATTTTTCTACTTATATCCAATTGAATTGATCACTTGAAAAAATTTCTTAAATAACTAATTTTAATTTTTTTTTTACAGCATCAAACGCATGGAGTCTTACAAAATCATGTGTCAACAATGCATTCACTGGTAATTTAAAAATACTATTTATTTCTGTAATAACAGATAGAATTTATCTTCATTTTTATTACCATTTGTAATGTCATAGCCAAAGGGACAATTTCAATAACAGTTTGTTTATAAAATCTGTTTCATTGTTTAGCTCCAAGGTTTAATTATAGTTAAGCAATGCGTAGGATATATGACCTACGTTGAATTTATTTTTTAAATGATATACTTATATCACAAACAGAGTCACAATAGTTGAATAATATTAGTTGAATATTATAATACAAGCTGGTCAAGCGGAGACATAAAAGATTTCAAAAAAAAAATAATAGAAAAAAAAAAAATAATGTCAAGTCATGGGATTTCATCATCTGATTCAGCTTGTTGTTATTCAAACTCCATGCAAAATGGACTCTCGCAAAAGTATAAACTTACCTCTTTTGATGATTCGTCGTCACACCGTCACACGGGAGAATAAAGATGTTTTCTTTTTATTCTCTTTTCTTTCTTCTTTTTCATAGTTATACTAGCCTGTATACAGCTATAGTAGAGAAGAAAAACGTGGCGCCCGAATAATTCTCATGCTGAATGCCCTCTGGAAATGACCAAAAATCGATGGGAATTCGGAAGGGGTGACATGTCCATTTGCGGTTGACCAGTTGTCAGAGAAAAATTCTCCACAGTATTATATATATATATATATATATATGTGTCTATAAATATATATAGATGTCTAACGTATGTATATACATATAGTTCTCAGGAAAATTTTCCAAAGTTCGAGGTATAAGGTTTTAGATCTCTATATTATATATTTTTTTTCTATTCAAAAATTTTGTCCATATTTTTATTGTATAATCTTAGGGAAAAAAAGATCCCACACTTACATTATATTAATTTATTTTTTTCTTTTTCAAAGATACTCGATAGTTTTTCTTGGAGAATTAAACTGGTTATGTTGCGGGATAATCTGGTCTTTAAATTTAAAAAAGAGGTTTTACTTTTTTGCCGCAACCAATAATGTAACAACGCAATGTCAAATGCGTAAATTTATATGAATGTGAAGAAAGAATAAAAGATGAATAAGAGAAAAGAAAAGAAAAGGTCTGGTAATACTTCGGAGAATTAACGATGAACATTTTAAAAAAAAAAAAAAAAAAGTTAAATCAAGGCGAAACGTATGACAAAGGAGATGCAATATAAAAGTATAGTATATAGGTTCAGTGGTAGTTAAAAATTTTTCGCAATATAATCTTACGCATTGATCTAAATGAAAAAGGGGTTTTGGCTTCAGAAATTGGTCGAACGGTGGATAATAAGGCCTTCGCTGCCGGTTCTCTTGCCTCTGTTAAAATCCAAGTTAGGGCTAAGGATTAGCTAGTGCTTGGTTTCTGGACATCTGTCGTATTGACGGACGATGGTCATCCAGTGAAATCTCTAAATGAACAACACAATGGTGTGTAACGTCCAGTGTTGAATTTACTCGTCCGTCATCGTTCTATATCGAGTGTGACAGCTTTACCGCGAAATACTATAAATGCTCAAAAGTATTAAAAAAAATCATTCAACCTTTTTGGATATCTTGCATATTAAAATTTATACTCACTATTTTTTTCTATTCATTTGTACGGGGTAGAATTTTTTAAATAACTATCAAGATTATTCTTTGTAATGGAATTTTTCTTCTATGTTCTTGTATAAGCCAATCAGTTTAAAGTTATTTTATTTTTATGATTTTCTATAATCCCTTTATAAAATAATAGTCGACTTTAATAAATTATTATAATTGACATTTTAAGGCGTTAAAACCTCTGAATAATTGATTGAACTACACGGAAAAATAATCAACATTATTTTAAATAAAATTTTAATTTTTTTATTAAGAATCTATTTTAATAATTCCAAGTCTTATTTTAAATCTAATAATTAATTATAATGTATCGATACTGCCATTCTAATACGTCGTATCCCACAAAATTTATCAAATTGACTTTTTTTGAAAAATAGAATCATAACAATATTATGAAAGTGATATTAAAAATTTAAAGGTCAAATAGTTTAATAACTATTCTTAAATAATTATTTTCATCCGTCGAATCCCATATAATCAATGTTAAAAATGAACCGTTTTTACTGTCTGCTGTAAAATTTTATAAATGTGGGATACGACGTATTAGAATAGCAGTATCGATATTGTCAAGTAAAATTCAAAATATTATTTTTATTCCATGGTTGAATATATTTATTATAGTTGACATGATTTCATACTTAATTAAAAATACTGTTTTTGAAATTACATTATCTACATAACAAGAATATTAACTTGTAAAGCGGAAAGGGATGTAAAATACCATTCAGGCCATACATTATATGAATAAATTACTAATACATAACAAGAATATTAGTCACATTAACTAAGTAAAAAATTATATAATTTTTGGCCTGAGGTCTCAATTAGTTCTTCAAATTCTTTATGACAAATATCATTTAATCCAACAAAGATAATAACGATGAATTTTTGTGACTTAATCGACACGGAATTTAATGTACCTATACATGAGTCAATCAGAATAGATAATAAGTTACGCATATATGTATTGTATTCTACTTTATTTTTCGATACATATAAAAATCAAATTAATTTTTTACTAAACTTTTAGTATAGCTGTTTAATAATACTAAAAAAAGCAATCTCTAAGTGAGGTTCACCTATACTTTTAGCAAATCTTTACCTCAGATTTGCATCTTTTTAGACATTTATAATCCGCATTCTCTCCGCCCACAACGACAAGTCCATCTAAAGAAAAAAAGCTAAATTTTCAAAAGAGTTGTCCACTTTCCAAGAGTTGTTATAAGAATTTTAGTGACCACCAACTGCGCGTCATCCTCTGTCTCGTCGTAACAATGTTACTTAATAAGCTTACGAGTGCACGAGAGAAAGATGACGCGCATCCTGGAGATGAATATAGCAAGAGGAAAATTTTTAAGGGGTTGGACAGCTAGTCTTTGGATGTCAAACTCGTCATATTCCACATTTCTCGCTCTTACACTCAACACTTGGCTTCCTTATTTTCTTCCTTTACTTTCTTCTCTTCTTATTTTACACCACCAGGCATAAAGATTAGTTTGCGAAAGAGTTTTTTTTTTCTCAGTATACCGTTACTTAACTGAAATTCTAGAATTTGTAACGCTTGTAAAATAGCTACTAGGTCTCAATCTTTTTTATTTTCAAATTCACACCTGTTTATTATTTTTTATTTTTTCTGGTGACGTGAAAAAAAAAATAATTGATGCGCATTATCATTTATTATTTTATTCTCTTGAAAAAAAAAAAAAAAAAAAAAAAAAAAATAATAATTAATCAATTAACCTCGACTTGTATACGTACTTCAAAAATTGTAAGGTCTTGAGTAAATTGATAAGTTAATTATATGACGTTAAGGTAATTGACAAAAAAACAGGCGTGTATTTTTTTGAGGTCGTTAACTTAATATTTAATTACAGTTCTTACAGTTAAGATTTATACACTTAATATGATTTATAATTATGTAATTATTTATTTGATAAATGTTTTCAGGTTTCGCAGAATTCAAAAGATTTGGCTCTTCATTATTTCAAATGCATAAAAAGGGCCCGCATTGTAAAAAACGTAACAAGCAGAGACCTTTCAATGGAAACCCTTTTGCAAAAGGTGTTGTTCTCAAAACCCTTATAAAAAAGCCAAAGAAACCAAATTCAGCCAACAGAAAATGCGTACTTGTAAAACTATCCAACGGAAGAGAAATGGTTGCTTACGTTCCAGGTAAATGATGGTTATTTTACGTAGTTAAAAATCATCTTGAGTTTTTGAATTACAATACAATAAAATAAAGTAAATAACTTTATTTATTTCAATTAATTTATCTTAAATTCAACGTCGTATTTAATTAGATACTTATATATTATTATGAGGTATAATTACTCGATAGAGTCATATCGTTAAAATGTAATACTGCTTATCGCACCATCTAATTATTTTTTACTGATTAGAAATACCTCATTAATTGTTTTTTGTTTTTATTTTTTGTAGGTATTGGTCATAATCTACAAGAACACAACATCGTACTTTGCCGAGTAGGTCGATTAAAAGATACGCCTGGAGTTAAAATCAAATGCGTGAGAGGAAAATATGATTTGCCACATGTGATAAAACCCGAACAGAAATAAAGTATGTAATTTAACACATACTATACCGATACTAATGCAGTTAATTAATATTCAATAAAAATAATAATAATAATAATAATAATAATAAACAACATACTTATGGATTTTGAAAATATTACAAAAATAAACTTTTGTTGAGTTTTAATTTAAAAATTTAAAATTTTAATAATTAGACATGCCGTAGCTGGGTAATAATTTGACATGTCAGCGTACAAAATCATTGACGAGTGTGCAAGAGTGAAGCTATAAAATTTGCCGTGAATAAATAAAGCGGTTCTTTGACACATATTTTTGAGGATAGATCCCTACTAGCCTAGTCGGTAGATATCACTTGAACCCTTTTATTTACCGTTAGTTGAACCACACGTACGTGCTTCCGTCACTATCCATAATACATTTGTGCGCATCGTGTCGCACCCAGCAGACAATAGGAAAAAAGGGCTTCTATCCACATGCCCCTTCTTTTTCAGGATATTACGGAAGGGTTGCCAGTGGTCCTCGGGACTCGCATCTGCACTTAGATCCACCCACGCGACCACTGTCCATTGACCATATGACATGCTGACCAGTATCCTCATATTCCATCTCAAATTTTCGGTTCTCAACTACTTTATTTCTTAGTCTAGTATGTTTATATTTATTTTTATTTTACTAGTCATTACTGAATGTCAGGCCTCAATTCATATTTATTTTTGTTTTTGTTGATGATTATCAAAAAATTTTGTAAGAAATTTATCATTGTTTTTCTTTTAAAATTTTATCGAAATTATTTTAAAATATATGATGTTTACATGATAAGTTCTTACAAGAATTATTGCTGGTAAGTAATCTCTTTAGAACGATAGATACCAATCATATTTATACCTGTTTATTTAAATAAACAATTTTAATTTGAGAACCTCGACTACAAATTCAGATGACGGTAGAAAAAAATGACGATGCTAAAATGATGTTAAAATCTTATGAGGGGAGTGAACTATGTGTAATTTAATAATTGCTAAATCATTGTTAATCTATATTAAATTCAAGTTCAATAACACGAATTCGTTAATATTCTAGGCAATTAGTTATTATCTTATCTATTGATTTTTGTTTACTTATTTTCCTAGAAATATTTTGCATTTATATACCTACATACATACATTTATAAAATATAAATATAAAAAAAAATATAAAAGATCATTAATTATTTAATAGAATATTTTAAAGTACAAGTTTATATCCAATAAATATAATGATTATTCTAGAATTTAATTTTATCTGCGTATAGTAACTCATAATGCCATAATTGAGTCTTGAATTCAGTTATACGTAAAAACATTAATTGCTTTTGTTATCAAAACCTTGCCTGCCTACATAAAAAATAATTTAACAAAAGTCATCAACTTCTAAATTGATTAGATTTTGTTTTAACTTTATTATGATTATTAGATCAATGTCCCGTGGTATCATCGATAATTAACATTAAATTTATTACATGACAGTGAACTCATATTTATATAAATGTACAATAAAAGTAATTATGCTGAAATTAAATCTATTTTTGCTAACAATTTTTAAAAAAAGAAACGTTTTATGACTCAAAAAGTTTACCATCAAAAACAGTTTTAATTATACTGCAACATTAATTTTTTTTATGTGCATTAGTTTCTATTACATCGGATTAATTATCAGCATAATTATAATTTTTTAATTTTTTTTTCAACTTAATATTATACTTAATTAATATATTTAGATAACTCTATTGAAGACCAGAATATTATATAATTATATATTGCTATTTTAAATATTTCAAAATTTTAAAAGTATTTTTAAAAATAATACATATTTACTTGAAACAAATAAATTCCTTATTTTAACTCTAACGATGAATTGATTTTCATAAATTATTTTTTAAAAGTGCGTCTGCTTTTTAATGAGAAATTTAACATTTAAATTATTAAAAATATTTTTAAATGTTATATTTACTTTTTTTTTATTGTATAAATTTTAAATTTATTTGTTCAATTATTCTCAAAATTAAATATAAAAAATAATTTTTTATTGAGATAAAAAAATGCAAACTCAAGGAAAATTTTTCTTATTACATTAAAAATAAAAATTTACTAATGTTTAAAAATACATAAAAGTTGTACAAAAATTTTTCCTGAGTTATAAAAAAAATTGATCGGTACATTTTTTTTTTTTTTTTTTTTGGAGATTAGTACTAAATTTGTAATTTATGACGTGATGTTTAACATTACATAAAATTATCGAGGATTTGAGCAAACACTTTTGAGCTCTAAGAACTAGGGTTGTTTGCTCTACGATCAAACGTAACAATATTTTCAATCTTAAGATAAACATTTTTTTTTTTGACCTCTACAAGCATTCGACGTAAGTACCTTTATAATAGTCAATAATTTATTTAAAATAAAACTGTCGACTCAAGAAGTTTTAAGAGTTAATCCTGTGTACAATGTAATCGAGTTTTAGGTAATCCCGATAATAAAATTACAAACTACATAAAAAGAATTAAAATTTAAGGGTCCACTGTAATAAACATTTGTTTACCTGTGAAAGTAGGATTAGATGTGGGAAATGGAAAAATAATATTTTCTAAAGTTTATTGCTTTTTTAAATGCTCTTCTAGATATCTCTTTTCTATTTTCAAAAGTTTACGGCAGTTCTTATACTAGTTTTGAAAAAAATACCCTTACAGACCTTACTTAATGGTTTTTATACTTTTATGACTGTCCCAATATGCTACCAACTACCTACTTATATAATAGTCTTTACAGAGCTCGGTACCAATAAGAAGCTTATATTGAAATAAAAATAATGTATATTGGTTTAACACGTTTAAACCTGTTGCCTCGTTACGGTTTTCGACTGAAATATTATATACTAATCCTTCATTTTATATTAAAGCAGTAATGTAAATTAATTATAAAAAATTTATACCAGTTTCATTTTAGAAAATAATATTTTTTTCTAATTAAGAAACTGATAATTTATAGAGAAAAAAAAATTGTTTTATTAAGTCAATTATAAACTAAAAAATTAAAATTTTAATTTAAGATTAAAAAAAAAAAAAGCCAACTCCAATATATTAATAAACACAATTTGTGAATTATAAATTTTCAGATAATTGGTTTTTTGAGAAAATTTTATTTTTTTAATTGAAATAAAATTGCAAGTGATGACACTGAAGTTAGCAGACGTCTAAAAATTTTTGATTTTTTTTTTTTTTTAATTAAATTACAATTAAAAATATATTTATAAAAAATTGCACTTGTAGTTTTTTAAGTTTTTAACATATGATATTTTTTTTTTAATTGTTTAATTGAAATTTTTTCGATAAAAAATTAATAAAAATTTTGAATTGTCAGCTAGCTTCATTTTCATTGCAAGAGTCAAACAACTAGGCCTTTTACCTTAATTGAGAAGTAAACAAAAATCTAAATTTAATCAGCCGTTGAATTTTTCTTGTCAATTAAGAAAAATTACTTGATTTTATTTTATGTATTTACAATCCATAATAATACGACAAAGAAGCGGCTGGTGCGCATTTTAAACTCTTCCAAAAGCGTGTCTCAAACAAATCCATAAGTGCTCTTCTTTCTTTACTAGAGCACAACTCTTTACCGTAGGGTTTAGTAACCAGACACCGTTTTAGATCTTTAGCTTAAAAGTTTTTGTCACAAATTTTCAATACGGGTTTTATTTTTCCCTTTCATTCTACACTGTATACACAACAAATATATCATATTATTTTATTTTTCATAAATCACCAGCACGAACTGCTATTCTAGATTTTAAGCGCAAATATCCATAAAAACAACCTTTTTTTTTTTTTTTAATATATTATTACTACTAATATTTAGTATGATTAGCATCATCAAGATTGTAATCATAAAAATACTCCTGAAAAATAATCAATATTTCTTCTCAGTGTCCGTTCGATGTATATATGATGAATATTCAAAATTGAATTGAATGAATATAGAGAGTTGTGGGTGACCCACTGGAGATTTGAACGATGGATGAGGTGAGCACTGCAAAAATGAATTTATTTGTACTAATAACAGTAAACTTAAATATATGTATAATAATATCTAACCGTATGTGGTAACTGTATAGAGTATTTATGAAGAAGCATATATAAGAAAGTACAATAATATTATATGAAAGAAAGTTTCATTTACAAAGAAGACAATGAATTGAAAGAAGAAATGGGCGTGAAGGCCGGAAGTATGCAAATTGAGATTCTGTTGGCAAAACTTGGTTGGTGGTCTTGAAGCTAACTTCTATTTTGGTGATGATAAATCGAAAAGTAATTACCCATCACGCTGACCAATACTTTTATTTACCAATCACCATGGGATTTTTATTTCTGTCCAGCAGAAATGTCTCAATGTTTTCTTTTTCTCACTTGCTGTTTAGTGTGGTATCTTCATAGTATAGGAAATAGTAGATAAAATCATTTCTTCTTGATCATCTTTCATTTTGAACGGATGAACGAAAACTGGCTACTGCTCGGACGCATATGACATCTTTTCAGTAACTTAAACATAACTATAACGTTTAACTATTATATATTAATGGTTTTTTTTTAATATATATTGTATAGATGACATGTATATACAGACCTCCCCTGGATACTTTTTTTTGATTTTTTTTCTGGCGCCGTAATGTCTTATTTTTATTTGTTACAATATTTGATGTTTTAAGATTATTTATACATCAGCATCAGTTCAAATGTTTGGATATGAATAAATATATTTTGACTAAAATATGTAGTGCAAATAGCTTACAGTATGACTTTTAACTTTTGTAAACTGGTTCTCAAATCAGTCTAGTCTTTAAACGCTACCTACTGTTTACTGAAAATTTCCTGGGTTACATGGAATTCTGAAAAATAAATACCGTCTGTTAAGGATAGACCATAATAAATGTATTTTCTGATTATTACTTATATTAATATAATACTAAAGTTAGCTGACGTTTTTAATTTTTTG